TTCATTCCCTCCTCCAGTGTCTCCAAATTTCCTCCAGAGATTACAGTTACACCCCCAACTCCAACCCTTCTCTCTCCCAAAGGCAGTATCTCTGAGGAAACCAAACAGAAACTCAAGGTGAGGGGAACCAAAGTCAATGGGAACTTATTTGGTAAACAGAAATGGGTCGGGAAAAGTGACTAATGGCTTTGGCTTAGGTTGGCAATATGTAGGGGAAATAAACTTGGGACAATAGCTGTACAGTGCTTGAAATAGATCTGCTTCCTAATGATATGAAATAATTTGGTTCTGCTTAGCACTCTCATCTGACTCCCATTTCACTTTCCACAGTCTGTCATCCTGTCTTCTCAGTCTGCTGCCAATGTGAAAAAAGAGACTCTGTGCCAGCCAGCCCTTGAGATTTTGGACACCTCTAGCCAAGAGTCGTCGCTAGAGAGTGACACAGATGAAGATGATGACTATATGGACATTTGAAAACGTCACAATCCGCTCATCTGCCATCAGAGGAAGTCACACTCTGAGCTAATGCCAACTATGCTTGCATGTTGCAGCTCAAGGCATGTGGATTGCTTTGTGTCTACCAATTGCTAGCCAAAAACTGTTCCCACCTTGTACCAAGATTTGAGTCTGCAGATGTGCGGTATTCAGGGATTTGTCTTTTTGGGGGCACTGTAAGGGTGCAGGGTGGAGAGATTAGGTGCTCTGGCATTGCTCTGTCTCATTCCTCTGAAAGTATTTCATTGTTTCAGTCCCAGAAGATCATTTGATGATTATACAAGACATGAGAAAAGCCAGGAAAAGGTTGTATATTTATATCATTTCAAACTCACCGCCTTTCTTGCTTATGTCTGTTGTTTAAAGGTCTTGATGATTTAACTGACCTTTTTGACACTGTTTAGGTGTAATTATTGTCCAAGATCTGATTTAAAGATGGTAAACACAGACTCCTTTTGAGTTCATTTTTTTATACAGAATGTGAAGTTTGTAAATTAAAGGAAGAGACATGTAAATGATATATCATACTAAAAAAGAGAGAGAGAGAATCACAGCGGGTGATACATAAAGTTCACAATTTTTCTAATAAAATTGCTAAAATAATTCAATTATTAATTGTGATATGTCTTCTTAAATTGTTGGATTGAGAAACTTAAACTAAATCACTGGACTAAAGTCATTAATTTTTTATACTTTATTTGAACTTGAAGGCCTAGGTCAGACCTGCACAACCTGGCAGTAGGTAGGCACAAAAATTAAAGTTCTAATTATAGGCTAAACTGCTTTTGTGCCACTGATAGGTATTTATTGACTCACTTTCCAAGTAAAGGTATAAAATTACATATAAAAATACAGATACACACACACACACACACACACTCTCACTCTGACAGACATACAGAAATACACAAACACTGACTGACATACAGATATGAATACAGATACACACTTTTAAATTCACCCTCTAGTTTCTTACCTTTTTCCTACTGACAGCCAGGCTGAGGCTGTTGGGAGTTAGGACAGGAAAGAATACAGGGAAGCAGCGCTTTCTGGGTGCTCTCAAATTGGCATAGTGAGTCAATATGGAAAATATGAGGACAGACAACAAAATATAGTGTAGTATATTCTATAGGTAGTGAGGTGAAATAAGAGAAATGCCACTTACAATTTTCTGGAGCTTATGTTTAGCTCCAGATATATGCATCTGGGCGGTATGATCCTCAACTGTGGATATGTTGCTCAGCTTGGTTCCTTGTAGATTAGATCAGGGTTGTTACGGTACCCTCAGCATCAGATGCACAAACTGCCGTTTAGTAAATCCTCCCCTCTCGCAGTAACATAGGCTGTATGCGTATCAAGTACAATCATACGAAACGGCAAGCAGGGGAACACTGTAAACTCACGAACGGGATCCGTACAGGCACTTCACTTCACGAGCTCCAAACTCACGAATCACCAATAGTAGCCGAACGCATATATCTCCCAAGCGGCTAATAATCCCATCCAGCAGTCTCTAGTCGTCGGTAATATTTCCCCCCAATAACGAGACCAAGCTCCGCATTGAGGGTAAAACATGAACTGGCTTTACTGTGGGCTACCTGCCCGTATTTATGCAGGTCTCCCACTTGGTGGACACTCCCCTAGGGGACCAAATGGGAGACTGTAACAATAGGCAGACATATGGCAGGTTAGGACTCACAGACACAGAATATTCCCAGCATGCATTAGTATTTCCTCCCCTCTGCCCTGGAGATAATTGATAAGTAATTCAATTATCTCCAGGACAGAGGCAAATCGCCATTTTAAATTCAACACAGAAAAACATATAAAAATACATGACTTTACATTTGTCGAATGTTACCCATTCGTATCACGTATCCCCAGATAGCCTGGATCTGAGTGCATATTATTGGCGAATAGCGCTTAGATCCCATATGCATAGTTCAATCTCCATGGAGTCAAAGTCTATTACAGTCTTTCGGTGTGCGATTGACTCCATGGGAAGGCTATCTGGGGTAAGTCCATTCGTGTGTATAAAACTCTCGAACGGCCGGTGTTTGTATACTTCCGTCGACCGAGAAGGGAGGTCGGCGGCTTCAGCGGTGTTCGGCAGAAAAAGTGTCCGTTTTTAGTTCCATGAAATCCATGCCGAACACCGCTGGTCTTTCGCATGGTTTAAAATGGCCGCCGCCTCGTGGTCGACATATGAACGACGACCACCCTGTATTCGGTTTTAATTGAGAAGTGTCTGCGGTTAACCAGCAGCACACTTCTCTTCTGGGTGGCCGTCCGTTCGGTAGTTTTGTTCGGCGGAAAAGTCAATTCACTGAACAGGGGCATACGAACGGGTAATTCCACGAAAAGGCAAAATAGACGAACCAGCAATCCCAGTCTATACAGATGGATCTGTCACAAGGGTCAAGGGCCAGTTGATGTGTCAAGTGTTCACGGGTAATTCCCTCCAAATTGCAGTATTACAGATCGTCACTAATTACATAAAATGAGAATAAAAACAGAAAATCAGCTTTGTTAGAGTAAAAGCAAAATAAAAGGAGGTATACTCACATAATTGTTTTATTTTGAATTTTTGACTTAAAAAACACGAATGCATTTAACCCAAAGGGGCTTTTTCAAAGTGTTGGGAGTTGGGGACTGGCTCTTGCACCCCTCCTCTCCTGCCTTCCCCTCTGCTCTGTTCTCCAGTCAATCCCGGCCTGGCCCCCACCTCACTGGATTCTCCCCTCTCCTGCATGGATTCAGTTTATGTAGGAGTAAGTGACCGGCTGTCTCGCAGGTTGCTGATAAGCAAGGGCCACCACACATGACAGGGCCGCTGCTGAAACATGCCCACCAGGGCTGCACAAAATCCTTTGGCGGGCCTTATATTGTGCAGGTCTGGCCTATATCAATATGTAATGGATAGCAGTTTCCTGTGTAAAGGAAAATGTGAGGAGAACAAAAACTAGTTAAGTCTTAGATCAAGTGCAAAATAGAAGAAAAAAATTAGAGAGATAGAAGGACAATAAGTGAAAAAAGTAAATATCTGCACAACTTTGTGTGTGTGTTTATAAGTCATAATAATGTATACTATGTGTAATAATAAAAGTCCTATGGGTGGACAGGAATTTATCAAGAAAAGTATTTGAGACAGAAAAACATATTTTTTTTGTAAATAGAAGTTTTTACATATAAGGCAGAAGTGCATCAGTTCATAGAAGAGGGAAATGTGTGTCATTAATGGTGCTATCTAGGGTTAGCTTGATTGTATAAAACATTTAACATTTCCATGTTTGAGGATGCAATTGTTCCATTTTCTGATAGGACCTGTAAGCATAACTCCAGGGTAATAACAAAGAACAGGTGGGAAGTAATGAAACCAAGAAACACTTTAGAGAACACAGAATTTAAAACACTTTAATAAGATTGGTTTGCTGAAAGCACATCAAGCATGTAGTATTTGATGAAATTCTTGATAAAAGGACCAAGTCATGGATTGCAGATGTTGCTGGATTCCGCTACTTCCACCAAAAGTCAGAAAAGCCCATGTATAATGAGCTTTAATTCCCATTGTAGTTTTGTTTTTTTAATGATTTTGTTTTTTGCATTATGCTTTGCATCCATTCCCTTGCTGTTAAAAACTGGGGTCTTTGTTTATTTTACTAAGTCCCCCGTCCTCCTCTCCAATGGTGACTTTGCCGCTGGCAGTGCGATGGCCAAGGGATGTAGGGAAAAGTGTGTTTTACTTACTTGAATATGTCCTTCGTGGTAGCTGCAATCTTTTCGGCTCTTGGCGCGGCATCTGCCTGGAGCTGACGTCAGTAATGTGGAAGAGTACAACACTAATGCCTATGCATTAGACCACGTTGGCCTCCAAAAACAAAGCCTTTTGCCAGTGATGGCTACAGGCTTGACATTGGTAGCTCTGCTGTTTTGTCAACTGTAGGAAAAATACATAAGACAAAGTAGTCCCTTACTTTGTATTGTTTTATCTTTTCACTGATCTCTTTTCACTCAAGATTTTAACTTTATGAAATGCTTTTTTTTTTTTTTCCGTGGAGGGGTAGAGGTTGAAAGAATCACTTTTACTGATCCATCCAAAAGGAAGGAGGAATATTCTTTGCGGTCAAGAAAATAGTGTCCTTTTGTTCCTCTTCTAAAGTTACATTTGAGAAAAACTATCACCTGGTTAAGAAGAAACTCTGTGTAACTACTTTTGGCCCATATTTACAACTTACAAGGAAAAGTCACATGCAAGCAAAAATCATGTAACTCATTTTTGCTCAAAATATTGTATTTACACCTTGTAGGTATTTCTGTGCTGTGCTTTTTACAATAAAAGCAAATTACCATGCTCATATTTTTAGAGTACGGTACATAATGAGCAGAAGTTTAGTTTTTTGCATCCAAAAACAGAGTACGCTGTTCCATAAAAAAAGGAGCAACGGCTCACTAAAACCCCTCCCCACAATCTACTACAGATTAGAGCTGTAGTGAGAGGTGAGGAGTGGAGAAATACAACTGAGCAGAGGCTTCAAAAATTACAATGAAAAATGTCAGCACACATGTTGGAAACTGATATTGTCACTGGTGCCATTATTCAGTGTCATCTTCCAACAAATGAGGCGGAAAGAGCAGATGCTCATGTACATGATCCCAGCCGTCTATACACCCACATTATTCCTAGGCAACTTTCAAAACCCATTAGTCCAGATATTATTATTATTATTTTATTATTTATATAGCGCCATCAGATTCTGTAGTGCTGTACAATATCTCTCCATACAAATTGATCCCAGGCAACCTTCAACATCCATTAACACCAGACATACATCCACAACCATTATACCCATTCACATCCATAAGTCCACCCATCCACACTCATTAATCCCAGGCAACCTTCAACACCTATTGGACCTATCCCAGGCCAACTTCAACACCCATGACCCAGAGCCATGCAAAATAACTTCCAAAAAGTCTGTCAAAATGTTAGCAGACTACACTTATCAGTGCCTCATTTCTTTTGATGTTGCGGTTACTATTGCAACTTGAGGATCCCATTTTTTCCACACAGGAGTGAATCTCTGAAAAAGTTTTCAAAATGGCTGCAACAAAAAACTCATGAGTAAAGTCTGAGCAAATATATAAGTAATTTTCAAGATGTAAATCATGAGTTAACTACTCAAGGTATTTACTACAAGTTGGGTTCCTTAATAGGCCAGCCCCACATCCTTTACCATCACACTCGTTAATTCCAGTAAACTTGAACCAGAAATCATGGTAAAATACATGTTCGAATGGCCAAAAATACACAAACACACAAATATATTCACAAACATACATACACAAATATCCAAACATATACAGACTTACATACCAATACAAATAGCCAAAAAAAATCATACATATGTCCATATATACAAAACCAGTGAAACACATAACATGTATATGCACTAGTAGCCAAACACACATTTACAATTTTTTTTTTCCCATCTCATATTCTATTATTTATTCCTTTCTTTCATCTCCTAACCCTTCTTCTTATTGCCCCTTCCTAAACTTTAAAGGGACACGGTAGGCATTAAAACCATGGCAGCTTAAAGGGACACTATATTGTGACCCCAACCATTTTGTCTCAGTAAAGCGGTCTGAGTGCCATGTCCCTGTAGTTTTAACCCTACAACTGTAAACATTGCTGTTTTGCAGGAATGGCAAAGTTTACAGTGGAGGGTATAAATGCCTCTAGTGGCTGTCATAATGTCAGCCACTAGAGACGCCTCTGCAGAAAAACTCTATTTCAATCAGATGGTCTGATAGAGACCATCTGATTGACGCAGCATTTTGTCATGCATGACCATCAGCTTCCCAATGCATTCCTATGGGAAAGCATTGGATCGACCGAGTGCGAGTTAGTAAACTACCTCTTCATGCTCTCTGAGTGGGGTGGGGTGCTAAACTAAATACATACAGGATACTACAGCACTAGGAATAGACATTTGTAATTGTAAACCCTTAGTGGTTGTATAAATGTTGCCACTCTTACACTTCTGCCTAAGGCCACCTCTAGTGGCTGTCACTCTTCCTGGACTAGGTCTTGCAAAGATTGCAGGACCTACGTTCAACATCTTCACACACCCTGTAGTGATGCATTGACTCAATGCATCTTTATGAGGAGATGTTGATTAGTCCGAGCACACTAGCCCCTCAATGTTTCCATATTGGGGAAGCAATGGATTGGCTAAGATCATTAGTATTGATGCCAGCGGAAGTGCGGTACCCACGTGAGACCAGGATGGTTTGTTTTTTTATCCTTCTTAGTCACATCACCCATTATCCAATTTCATTTTCCATCACATCAACCCTATCCACGACTTCCCTCCTGCACTTCATTACCATCCAGATGACCCAAATCCATCCCGCACTTCATTAGTCATTACCCCCACCCACTCCATTTGGCATCATAGCATCAGTATCCATAATTTCTCTCCCTGACTCCATTCGCTATCAAACCCATCCATTCCCTACTTTAAAATGTGTGACACAAACAAAAGCAGCTATTTATTTTATGTCACATTCCACTTTTCTGGTGGTGTACTGAGCTTTAAGCATCAGAGATCTATGCATTGTTTTGGTAAAGGTTTGCTGTGAGTGTTCACCTGCATGGCTGGCTGTTTGAAGTGCAAGGAGGAGGAGTGGATATGATGCCACATCCTCCCCCCCACTACCACCCACCTGTAGTTCCAGTAACCCTCTGATACTAGCACTACTCTCACTGTACTTTGCAAAAATTTAATTGGAACTCATGGCTACCAATTAAAAACATCACCTCCAGAACTTTTCAGGATCTCCCTTGAGATCCAGACTGGACTAGCATTTACTTTCTAAAGCAGGTTTCACAGAGGTCAGCCAGGTTATAGGCTGAGTGCTTTAGCTGTCACAGACTTTCACCAGCAACCATCAGTAATGTTGCTTCAGATAGATCAGAAAAAACTGTGTTTTACACAGATGTTAATACCAGAAAACTACTTTTGCTCATATGAAAGACCTCTATCAATACACAAAACATTTTGAAGAAAAGAGGAAGTTCTTCCACCATATGCCTACATAAGAGGGAGATAATATGGGACCAGTGAAAGTAAGACAGGTAAAACAAAAAAAGTATATGGGAAGAAAAAGTGATGTTACCCTTAAAGCCTGATATGGAGGTACCAAAATAAGGTGGAGATTCTACAGATTCTGGAAGGATAGCCCCTACTTCTCCAAGGGAATTACTGTAGAAAGTGTATGGGTAAGACTAAGCATCTCCAATTATACAGCATCGCTCTGTTTAGACTCCAAAGCTGGATTCTGTTGGATTACTTGTGTAGTGGATATCGCTGTCCTGTCCTTAAATTTTGGAAAAGGGATCAAAATATTTGGATAAAAGGGGTAATGTGGAGAAAATAGAATTAGAGGGGATGGAATAAAATGGGATAAAAGATAGTAAGGAACCTGTGTGATAGTGTAGAAAAGCAGAGAAGGTCATGCAAAGGGTCAATCGACAGGAGAGTGAGGTTTCCCAGCCTTCTGGAAGGAACCTTTTGGTCACCTCCAAACATGAATAACATTTTGCTTTATAAATGATTAGAACAAAAAGGAAGGGAGGATCAGAGGTGGACAATTTATCATACCTCACAACCCTAACCTTTCTAAAGGCAAAAAAGCTTCCCAAGAAGATTAAATGAATTAATTGGTAAAACATAACCTTTGTTGGATTCTTTATATATATTCTACTATTTAATTTTATAAAGTGTAGCTCTTATGGCAAACTGTATAGCTTTCAACAGGTTATTAAAGTCTAAAAGAAATTGAAAAAAAGATAATAAATCAAATGGAAAGACTCCCAGAAATATAGAATAAACTACTTACGTTGCAAAACATGGGGGAAAAGAAACACTAACAAATAATGTAGCTGTTCAAATAGCAATTAGGATCAAGTGGGAGGGTATACTGACTTAGAGAGATCCGACAGATCAAAAGAAGCAAAAGCAAGGGAGAAAATCAAACCATAATATAGGAAAGGGATAGCCTATATTTCTAAATTATAACCTAACGTGCCTTCGTGGGCACCCCTTAAAAAAATCTAAACCCTCCCCTGCTCTCAAGGTAAGGAATAAACATACCCGTAGAAAACAATAGATCAATCAAGATCCACCCTTCCCACTAAACAACTGCTACCTGAGAGTAGATAGAAAAATAAAACAAGGTAAATGCATTGTGTGGTGGCTATCTAATAAATCCTAATGCGCTGCAGCATCGTCCCCTATCTCGCTGCCAACCACGGCACTGAACTGTCCCAACGCTCGTTTCGCCAAGTAATGGTAACCAGGAATTGTTTTTCTATTTCAATTTCTTTTGAAATCTGCACTTTTTGTAAAATAAAAAGAAGAGGATACACTCTTCACTCATAAAGCACTTCAGAAAGATGAAGTGCTTTAGGGGTCTGGAATGTCACTTTAATTAAGAGATATAAACAGGGCCAGACTGGCCCAACGGGATACTGGGAAGTTTACCGGTGGGCTGGCACACTATCGGGCTAATGCGCGGCCACCTAGGGCCACACTGTGCAATTACTCGGTGATCGGCAGGAGGGGACGCATGACTGGTTCCTGTCAGACCGGGTACAGTGAGCAGGAACTCCTCCACCACAGTCTGCCTGCTCGGCCATGCTACAGCAAGGTACGGGAAGGGGAGGGGGAACTAATGGGACACATAGGAGCTTGGGGGGGGGACTACTGGGACACATGGGGGCGAAACTAATGGGACACCTGGGGACTGGGGGTGGTGGCAACTAATAGGACACCTGGGCGCTGGGAACTAATGGGACGGGGGGGATGATGGAACATCTGGGGCTGGGGTGGGGGGGCTATAGGGACACATGAAGGGCTAGGAGGGGGTTACAGGCACACACGACGGGCTGGGAGGGGGGAATAGGAACACATGGAGGGCTGGGAGGAGTTATAGGGACCTATGGAGGGACTGAGGGAGATAATAAGGCACATGGAGGTCTTGGGGGGTAATGAGACGGGGCTGAGGGGATGGATTGACGCACATTGAGGACTGGGAGGATGGATTGAGAAACATGGAGCTGTGGGGGGATAATGAGACACATGTAAGGCTGGAGGGGGTGGAATGATACACATGTATAGCTGGAGAGGGTGGAATGAGACACATAGAGGGGCAGGGGAGTAAAAAGACACGGAGAGGCTGGGGATAAAAAAAGACACAGAGGGGTCTGGGGAGAAAGAGACAGAGGAGCTGTGGGGAAAGAGACACACAGAAGTGCTGTGGCCTGTGAAAGAGACTACCAGAAGGGCTGGGGAAGAGGAGAAAGAGACAAAGGGACTGGGGCTAAGAGACACATGAAAGGGGCTTGGGGAAGAAAGACACAAACAAAATGCATCTTCACTTGTGTTTCGTGCTCTCCCTGTAAAGTCAACCGGTGAGAGAAAGACTTCGTATTAAAGGGACACTATAATCACCAGAACTTCTACAGTTTAATGTAGTGGTTCTGGTGTCTATAGCCTTTCCCTGTAGGCTTAGCACTGTAAATGCTACCTTTTTAGAGAAAAAGCAGTGTTTACATTGCTGCCTAGGAACATCTCTAGTGACAGTCACTCAGACGGCCACTAGAGCTGCTTCCTAGTCCAGTGCTGCACAGTGTGCAACACCTATGTTGAGCATCTCCACGCTCTGCATAGAGGCGCTGGCTGCTCCCCATAGAGATGCATCTATGAGGAGATGCTGACTGGTGCGGTGAAGCACAGCGTTTTGCCACACATGCGCAATAGCCTTCCAATGCTCTCCTATGGGAATTAAATTGGCGTTGAATGATAGCATCCAGTTGTCAGCCAAAGTGAATAGCACACTCTTGTTACTTCAAAATAAACAAGATAACGTCATTTTTTTTACTGCTGTGAAATAACATACATTCACATTTTCAGTCCAATTACGAAACTTTCCTTAATATGTCAAGGTAGTTGTACTGAAACATTGATTATATGCAAATGCACGTCTGCATACAACACGGCCGGTGCAAGGATTTTTAGCTACACAGGCGATGGTGCATTATGCCGCCCCCTCCCCCACCCCCCCATTCCAAAAAAAAAATGCATCTTCACCTGTATGTCTTGTAACCCACCCATTAGACTTTCTTACCCCTTTTGTGCTCTAATGTATTTTATTCCCCCTTTAGTGTGTCTTACAACCCCCTTTGTATTTATCTTACTTCCCCCCCAGCCCCAGGCAGAGACATACAGACACAGTAACACAGAGAAATACAGGCAGAGACATTCTTAAATACAGAGACATGCAGGCATACAGAGACATAAAGGCATACAGAGACATACCGTCATACAGAGACATACATGCATACAGACACATACATACATTCATACATACATTCATAGATGCATACAGAGGCATACAGAGACATAAAGGCATACAGAGGCATAATGTCATACAGAAACATACATACAGAGACATACATACATACAGAGGCATACCGTCAAACAGACACATACATACATACAGAGACATACATATATACATACATGCAAAGATTTACATACAGAGGCATACATACATTCATACAGAGACATACATACATACATACAGAGACATTCACAATTACATTACTTACATCTCTTCAATCTGGTCCATGGGGTGCACGCTGTCCTGCAGCCCAGCCTCATCACTGGGCGCCAGCCGCACTGTGTGGTACACAGGGAGCAGGGATATTATGTCATCATGGGCGTCCGCAGGGGGGGGCAAGGGGGGCACTTGCCCCCCCCCCCTGGATTTTTCAGCTTGTTCTGCTATTTTTCGTGTGATTGAAAATGAACTGCAATACCGGCGCCTGTGTATGGAGAGAGACAGGAATAGGAAGCTGCATCTTATCCCTGCTTCTCTCTGCTGATTGAAACCGCAGGGGAGCAACACATGCAGCCAGAGAGAGCCTACAGATCATGGGAGTGAGGGATGGGGGAAGGGTTTGAGATAGCCTATAGATTTTGGGGGGGGGCAGCAGCCTATAGATTAGGGAGTGAGGCTGGGGGGGGCAGCAGCCTGTAGATTTGGGGGGG